GTGCGCACTACACTCCAGTGCGCGCACTTCCGCCGTCTCTCGGGCTAACCTCTTGCGTGCGTGATATGCCCGGCTCGCAGCGTTCTTGAGCTGCCTAGCCACTTCCGCCCGCATCATTCCCGTCCCCTTCAAGTGAATCCTTGTCCTCAAGGATGAAGTTTGGGAATTGATCGCGCATCTCATCCAGATCTTCCAAGGTGGCTTCTTCAGATGGCAACTCTTCCCAGTCAACTAGTACTTCCCAACGATAGTGTCCTGCTTTCCTTACCTTGCGGTATTCAATCGCTCGTTTTGGGCGTACTATGACCCTACCATCGGTTGCGGTGGCTAGTAACTCCTCACAATACATCTGCGCTTCTCCTAAACTCCTCTTGAGTTGTGAGACGTGGATAACCGGACGCATCTGAGAACTTTCTGGCAACTCTAGACGATAAGCTATCTGACCAATGCGCTTCAGAATCTGATAAGGCCCATAATACCGAACACCCAGTTTAGTTGCAGCCCTCTGTGCTGTTGTGTGCTGTCTGAAAGGTCGTAGCTTCAGGTAGACATGCTCTCCTGGTACAAAATTTTCCTCACATCTCTTTCCATCTGCGAAGGCTTTGGTTCGATTCATTGAGCCTTCGAGATTTTTCTTTAACTCTCGCAACATCAAATCTCGTTCCTCGAGTTCTCGACCAACCTCATCGTTGACTGTACTCCCCTCCGAATAGTTGATCAATGTCGGGGGTTTACGTCCGTATACCAATTCAAACGGCGTCATCTTGGTCGACTCGTGGTAAGTGGTGTTGTACCAATCCTCAGCCCAAGGCAAAAAGTTTTCCCACCTCTTCGGAAATTGATGGACGTAGCACCTCAAGTACTGCTCAAGAGTTCGGTTGGTTACCTCAGTCTGTCCGTCTGTCTGTGGGTGGTAGGCTGAGCTCATAGATAATTTAGTCTCTTGCAATTTAAAGAATTCAGACCAAAATCTGCTCATAAAGATTCGATCTTGATCATAAACGATTGATCTTGGTGCCCCATGCAGTTTCATCACGTACTCCACAAATAATCTGGCAATCGACTTTGCAGTGTAAGGATGAGTGATGGGTATGAAGTGAGCATACTTTGTGAGACGATCCACCACGACCATAACACCGTCGAATCCATTAGAACTCGATAACCCTTCTATGAAATCCATAGTAATGTCTTCCTAGATTGCCTCGGGTACCGGTAGAGGTTGCAGCAGACCGCGCGGCCGTCGTGAGTCAGCCTTAGTACGTTGACAATCGTCGCACCGTGCTATGTAATCTCGGACGGTATTCTGCTGCCCTGGCCAGAAGAAGGTATTAGCTATCCTCATCCATGTGCGGTAAATACCCGAGTGACCTCCAATCTTAGAATCGTGGAAGTGCTACATGATTTGCTCACGTAACTGCCCGCTGTCGGGAACGAATACTCGGCCTCGGTGTAGAAGTAGACCATTGTGCAACTCATAGTCAATAGCAGTTGTCTTACCGATTTCGATCACTTGACAC